AGGGTGTCAAAGTAATTCAAAATGAAAATGAGAATTTTTTTTCATCAAGAAGTTTGTGAATGTTAGGAGGTCTCTACCTCAGAGACCTTTAGGTGCCCAATCATTTTCCAGACAGGATTGATGATGAAATTAGCCAATCGTCTCATTGATAACTAGGAATAGCAGTGTCATTATTCACATTCCTCTGTCTTTAAATAGGCTTTGGGAGTGAATACCTTGGGTATTGATAAAAGGCTCATTTTGTCAAGTCGTTTTGTCTTGCACTCATCAGGCCAATTTGTAAGAAATACCAATTCAAGGGGAAAAACAATATTTACACTAATTGAGAGGTGTGGGCTGATTGGTTGGCAAATTGACTCTGATTGGTAGAGGCCATATCCTTGAGGTGTTATTGCTGGACTGTTAATCCCTTTATTCATTAATAGTTTGAGGGCATCGCTGGTTAGGCAGCATTTATTGCCCATCACTAATTGCCCAGAGGGCGGTTCAGAGTCAACCACATTGCTGTGGGTCTGCGGTCACATGTAGGCCAGACCAGGTAAGGATGGCAGTTTCCTTCCCTAAAGGACGTTAGTGAACCAGATGGGTTTTTCCTGACAATTGCCAATGCATTCGTCATCATTAGATTCTTAATTCCAGATATTTTATTGAATTCAACTTCCACGGTGGGATTTGAACCCAGATCCCCAAAATGTTATCTGGGTCTCTGGATTAATAGTCTAGCGATAATACCACTAGACCATCACCTCCCTGCCAGAGACCCAAATAGTGTTCTGGGAATCTGGGTTTGAATCCTGCCATGTCAGATGTTGAAATTTGAATTTGATAAAAATCTGAAATTAAGAGTCTAAAGATGACCATGAAACCACTGTCGATTGTCGGAAAAACCTACCTGGTTCACAAATGTCCCTTTAGGGAAGGAAACCGCCATCCTCACCTGGACTACATATGACTCCAGATCCAGAGTAATGTGGTTGACTCTTCAGTGTTCTCTGGGATGGGCAATAAATGCTAGCCTAGCCAGCAATGCCCTCATCCCATGGATGAATTAAAAAAAGGAGTTGCTGTGGAGTATACACAAATAATAATGATTGACAATTAATTGCCGGCTTTGTTTAAATTTTAAACTAAGCAGGTTGACTCTGACTAGTCATAGCATTGCCCTGAGAAATGCCCTCAGGCAACTGCCTGCGTGGGGTTTGCACATTCTCCCCGTGTCTGTGTGGGTTTCCTCCAGGTGCTCCGGTTTCCACCCACAGTCCAAAGATGTGCAGGTTAGGTGGATTGCCTGTGTTTGATTGCACATATCATTCAGGGATGTGTAGGCCAGGTGCATTAGCCATGGGGAATGCAATGTTACAGGGAAAGGATAGGGGGATGTGTCTCGGTAGGATGGTCTTCAGAGGGACATTATGGACATGTTGGGCTGAATGGCCTGTTTCCACACTGTAGGAATTCTATGGATTCTACAAAGTGTTGAATTGCTGTCACTGTCACTGAAATTCATATACCATATTTCCCATTTGTGTGACAGACAGAATATATTTTTAGCTTGACTGCAGCAACTGAATGTCATTGCACACAGTGTCCAATGTTAGATGTGATTCTGTAATTTGACAACATTTGCTGGATTCTCTTGAGTGAGTGAGAATTACACTATCAACCAATTCAGGACGATCAGTCGGGCTCTTAGTGTGACACAGTTTGAGTACTAGAAATTACGTATGTTATATGCTACAAGACAGAGATGTTCCCTCCCAGTGGTGAAACACTTCAGCAGTCAAGGACATTCAGCCTCAGATCTTCATGTAAGTGTCCTCCAAGGTGGACTTCGGGCTAAACAACAACGCAGAGTTGCCAAGCAGACGCTGATAGCCAAATATTGTACCCATGAGGGCAGCCTCAACTGGTATCTTAGGTTCATGTCACACTACAGATGACCTCACCACAGTATACACTCTCACACACACATACACCCCCACACCCACACTGTCTCACTCTCACACACACACACACACACGTGATTCAATGCGGTGAATTTATTTGCAGATACATTTTATTTTGTTCAAAAAGCACACAATCTATAGACAATCAGTCAATATGGTATTTTATAAATTCTTACTTTAGAAATAAAACCAGTCTGCCTCCAAACTAAAACACAAACAGATTATAAACAAGGTCTCACAACTGACATGCATTGTCTGGCCTAAAATGTCACCTCGTCTTTACACTGATAAAACCTTTAGTTCTCTCAGGACCGTGACATGAAAGGAATTCGGGGATTTACATGTAAATATTAACCAATTAAAACCTTCTAACGGATTAAAGATTTAACATCTTAGGTTTGTAAGATCCTTACCAATGTACATCCTTACCAATGATGTGAGCCTTTGATCTTTTACTTATAAATTCTGTGTCTGAAACTACCTCTGTCACTAGCACTTGAAGAAGGACTGACGCTCTGAAAGCTCTCAAATAAATCTGTTGGAGTAGAACCTGGTGGTGTGTGAATTCTGACCTTGTTCTTTGCAGGCAAACCGAAAGAATATGTACACACACTCTGTCCATTTCAACCCAACAAAATAGCTGACAGCCATGTGCTGGTTCATTACTGATAGAAATACCCTGACCTATCGGGGTCAACCTACCTGGTTTAAAACTTAAACAAATCCTGGCAGTTAGCTGTCAAACAACACAAATTGGTGCGTTCTCCATGGCCACACTTCCACCAATCAGAATCCGCCTGCCATTCTCCTCTCATGCAGCATAAATGTTGAATTTGTATTCTTCTCAGTTGTCCTGATGAGTGTTAGATGAAAAACTTTGACAAAATATGTTTTCTTTTCAGCAATGTTTCTCATGAGTTCCACTATATTCCCCAGATTTCCTCCAATCACTGTCTGACATAGTAGTGCAAATCATCTTCTTGAACTGACATGCTCTTCATTTGAATAAAACATTAGCTCAGAAAATAAAGTAAGGACAAATGATATTTGAGGAAGAGTGTGGAATTGTGTGAGGAGCTAATTTAGGGATTATTACTTTACAGATGTGGTTTGTTATTAGACTGCTGAATGGACCTCTCAAATTTCAAATCTAATGTTGATCTTGCTTTTATACTCTACCTGTGCAGCCGTAACTTTGTATGCTTCGCTCTGTTCAATCACCCTCTGGTCTGTATGTCCTTGTATGTTATGATCTGCCTGTACTGCATGCAAAACAAAACTTTTCGTTGTACTTAGGCACATGTGACAACAATTAATCAAATCAAATCAATTAGTATCTGGTTCAGCACCTTAGCCTCATACCTAGCTTACCAACCTACATTCAGATCTTCCATGCCTTCTCCAACTGGTCAATCACCAAGAAAGTAAATGGTTTCAATCACACTGAACCCAGCCTGTTTCTTTATTCTTTGGATTGCTTTTATTTCCATTCACCTTTACAACCTAATCATGGCCCACTTTCTCATTAATGTTGGAAGTGAATATTAGACAGCCTCACAACTGTCACTCCATTTGCCGGATTCTCTTGCCTTCTGATCCTAGAACTCTAATGTTTAACCTTGTACCTAAGACCTATCATTCTTAACCCCTTAACAACCAGAAAACTGCATGCTTTGATCTCTTTCATAGTGTGCTCAATATTATTTCTGGTAGTAGCATGGTATTGTACTATTGTACTCGTCCTACAATTGTGACCATGATTGGTGAACAAAGAACAAAGAACAATACAGCACAGGAACAGGTCCTTTGGCACTTCAAGCCTGCGCTGACACAGCAGGCCACAAATAACAAAGTGATAATGATGAAGTGGCCTGTTTTTAAGTGAGGAATTTGAGTGATAGACATTGAGGATATCTCAGATGCTTCCCCTTTTCTTCATAAAAGTGGCTGGGAATCTTTCACCTGGAGGCGAGGCATCATTTTCTTGTCTCCAACAAAAGAAAGCACTTTGACAGTGTGGCAGTCCCTCAAGACAGGACTGGAAAGTCAATCTAGATTTTGGATTGAAGTATATGGGTCGGGGCCTTCCCTAAAGGACATTAATGAACCAGACAGTTTTCCCCAATAATCTATAACAGTCATCAATGAACTCCTAATTTATGGAATTCAAATTTCACCATCTGCCACGATGGGATTTCAACCTTTGTCCCCGGAACATTAGCTGACTCTCTGGCTTAATAGCCTAGCAATAATACCACAAGACCTTGCCTCCCCCTGTAGATGTAAGTAATGTTGATATATTGAGCATAAAACAGATAACTTGATCATAGCTGCGTCGCCTTTCAGAAGGACAAATGCTCAACTCCCATTCCAACACTACCACACTAAAATCGTCACTTGACCTGCACAAGCACTTCCCTTCACCAAAATGGCGACACAGGCCGTTTCACGTCCTTTCCATTACCAATATGGAGAAGGACAGCTATCGCAGGAATGTTCCATTACCAAGACGGCGGTTTGATGTACCATGGGAGCTTTCCTTTACAAAACGGCGAATGTGTAACGTCACACAGAGGTCGTGTGTGACCTCACCGCACACGCACCAACCAGGAAGTGCCGTGCGTGTTCTCAGTGATTGATGTCGATTCTCACCAATTGAAACCCGGGCATCTGGGCCATACCGTGACCAAGCGTCATGATGGCGGACCAGTAGTTCTGAAGGAGGGCGGGGCTAGAGCGGCGTGCTAGCTGGTTAGGTTGCAGCACGCACGTCGCGCCGGGCGGGTTGTGTCCGCGCTTTACTATTGGACAGCGGCTCTGGTTCGGTTGAGGCGCTGGCGGTGGTCTGCGGGAAATGGCGGCCGAGGCTCTGGGCGGTCGTCAGCTACGGCCGTTTCTATGGCGATGAGGCGGGTCGGGCCGGCTCAGGCCGCGTGAACGAAACATGACCCAGGGGAAGAAGAAGAAGCGGCTGAACCGCAGTGTCTTGCTCGCCAAGAAAATCATCATCAAGGACGGAGGCACGGTAAGGATCAGGCTGAGGAGGGTCGGCGACCCCGGGGAAGGCGGAGGCGGCGGAGTGGGAGTGGGGAAGGAGGGGGTTGGGGAAGGCTGGGTAAGGGAGTGGGATTTGGGGGTGGTAGGGAAGTATGGGAGGGAGGGATCTGTGGGAGAGTGGAGGAGGAAGAGAGAGAACTTTTGTGAGTGTGCTGGTGAAGGTGGGTTTGGGGTTGGGTGGGGAGAGGCCAGTGTTGGTGAAGGGAGTCATGGGATGGAGGTATGGGGAGGGCTGAGGCTGGGAACATGGTGTTTTGGGGAGTTGACATATGTTGGAGGTAGAGTAATCGCGAGCGGTTCATTTGGGTGGTGATTTGAAGAGAATGGGAAGTATTATAGGAGGCAGCTGTGGAGGATATGTTGTGGAGTAATGCTGACTGCAGAGTATGTGGGGTGCAGAGGAGTGTATTTATTTGGACAAGCTGAGTTGAAGGGGCTGTTGGGGAGAGGACAGTGGAGGAGTTGATATGGCATCTGTAGAGACAGAAAGAGAGCATTAATATTTTGAGTCCAGTATTACGCTTCAAAATAACAAATCATCATGTTAGGCTCACCGTTAACTCTGTTTCTCTTTCTAAAGATGCTGCCAGACATGCTGAGTTTCTCAAGCACTTTTTATTTTCATTTCTGTACCCAGCATCCACAGTCTTGCTTCTGTTTAATAAATAGGTTTTATGAAGTCTGATTGAAATTTTTGGGCCATTGGAATATATATGGTGGCTTTGGGCAGTGGTGAAGGGGTGCACGTATTCTACACAGTGATGGAGGAGGTGAGGATATATTGGTTCCTGTGTGGAGAATGAGAATTTGGTGTTTGTAAAAAAAAAAAAAAAAGTGGGATGGAAAAATCTTGGATGTTTGACATGTGTAGAATGACAGGAGTTTTTTGGTGGTGATTCTAGGCATAGGTTATTTTTCATCATTTGAGATGGTGGTGTTGCTGCGAGCATTTATTGCCGATCTGTAGTGGCTCTTGAGAAGTTGGTGATGAGCTGCTGCTTTGATCTGCAGTCCATTTGATGTGGGTGTATCTACAATGCTGTTAGGGAGAGAGTTATGTGTAAATGAAGAGGATGCAATCTATCAGTGCCAGATTGAATGTGGGTAGTTGGTGCTGTGAGCTGTCATGATTAATAAAGTCGAGTTGTAGCAGCCAATGCTGAAGGTGTGGGTGAGGTGATGGATTAGGGTAGGTCAACCAGTGAAGACAGTAAGAATGGAAGTGAGTAACAGTGGTCAGAGTGGAGGTCATGAGAGAAGCACAGGAAACTGGAGCAGCATAATGATGGTGCTCAGAAGGTAACGTATGCAAAAGAATTGAGGGATTGAGGTGGGACAAATAACATAGTAGAGTTGGATTTTATGGAGATGATGGGAAGCAGGGAGGAAGAAGGATGCCTAAAAAGGAGCAGGTAATAGAATATGACAGAAGACTAAAATGAACAAAGAAACTGAGGGGTGCTAGTATATCCTTCCTTGGATAATAGGAGTAGAAGGCGGTCATTCAGCCTTTTGAGCCTGATCGACTATTGATCTTAATCATTGCTGGTCATCGAACTCAATAGCTTGCTTTTTCCCTCAAGCTCCAAGTGCTATATCCAACTCCTTCTTGAAATCATAGAATATTTTTGCCCTGACTGCCTTCTGTGGTCACGAATTCCATAGGGTCACTCCTCTCTCTCTGAAGAAGTTTCTCCTTATTTCAGTCCTAAATAGTTTACCTTGTGTCCTTAAACTGACCCCTAGTTCTGGGCTTCCCCCGCCTACAGCATCATCCTTCCTGCCTCTATCCTGTGTGGTCCTGTTAGAATCTTATAGGTTTCTTTGAGATACCCTTACTTCTGGACCCCACTCATATGTAAAGTTCAAATTGATAAAATATCTCCATGTCAGTTTTTCTATCCCTGGAATCTGTCTGGTAAACCTTTGCTGCACTTCCTCTGCAGTAAGAACATCCGTCCTCGGATAAGGAGACCAAAACTGCATACAGTATTCCAGGTGTGGTCTCACGAAGGTATTGTATAATTGCAGCAAGACATTTATGCTCCTGTACTCAAACCCCCTCAATGAAAGCTAAAATGTGATTTGCTGCCTTGACTGTCGGCTGCACATGCACGCTTACGTTCAGCGACTGGTGTCTGAGAACACTCAGGACTCATTACTGTGGAGGGGGTCATAGCTGCTGAACTGTCTGCCCCTCTTTGTGCCCAGGTGTCCACTAATGCCCTCTCTGTCTAGAGAGAGATGGGGACGACAGGGTGCTTTATCTCCCCTTCCAACTCCGTTTTGATTTGGCCCCTCCTGCTCTCCATTCCTCTTCCTCGCCTTTAGTCTGCATTACCCTTAATATGCTTTGCATATAAATTAATTGAAAAACACTGTGATTTACTGGTGGTAGTTAATACATGTAAAAATATCATGTGATTTGTTGTGGGGGAGAAAAATATTCAGTTATGTGTCAGAGCACACAGGATATTTTTTTAAAAATCAGTCATGACCTTATTGAATGACATCAGGCTTGAGAGGCTAAATGGTCTACTCATGCTCCTCATTCATGTTTTACCCATTTCACCATTAAACTGTAGAGGGTTATTCAAAATGCTTCACATAAGGGGTTGATGGAGAGCTAGAAGTATCCTTTTCATTCAAGATTACTTGCCGTCCATGATTTCTCGTACACACGTAACAATCTGACTTGAAAGATTCTTGATCATGCATAACATTGCTTAACTCTCAAAGTCATACTTTTGCCAGTTTTTTGCTCAATATTTCCTTGACGTTTATCTCTCAAAACGACTAGATGTAGTTTGCTACCTTTGTGGTTTGCAAATTCCTTGCCTCTGGTCTACGATGAGGATGATGCTTATGAGAGTCTCAGACTGTGCAGAGCACTGTTCAGTTAACCAGGAAAATGCACCTACAAAAGTTCGACTCCTGCTGTTATGATCTAGAAGAGAATGCTTGGTTTTTATATGGTACCTTTGAAAACCACAGGACATCCCAAACACTTTACAACCAATCAAGTATTGTTGTAATACAGAAAGCACAGGCTCTGTTTTGAACATAACATACTCCCACAAAGTGTAGTGTTTTGATAGTGATGTTGATTGACTCGTCAAATATTGAACAGGACACTTGATCAGAATTTCCCTGCTCTTCAAATAGTGCCATATGAACTTTTACTGCAGCTTAATGCCTTGTCTGAAGGGAATGTTATAATGTGAGTTATGATTTCGGAAGAGCTGCATGAAAGGATAGTAGAAGCCGATTCAGTAATAACTTTGAAAAGAGACTTGGATAAGTATTTAGAATTAGGCTTATTGTAATGTATTCAAATGAATACAGTTTAGTTATGTGAGAAAGAAAAGTTTACAAAGTCACAGCTTAAGGTACCATCTTGGGTATAAAGGTACCTAGGTACAGATTGTTAAGAATAAATAAAAATAAAGAAATAAAAAGTTTCTAGAATTACAGACCTTCACAACATCTTAGGTACAAATAGTATCTAGGTACAAAATCTTAAGAATAAATTATTAGAATAAAGAAATAAAAAATTCAGAATTACAGTCCTTCCAAGCAGAGAAGACGGAGTGGATGAATTTGCGCTGAAGAGTATGGACAAGAGGAAAGCTGGAAAGAGAGATTAACTGGGTAGCCTTGTCGAAGAGTCAGCACATGCACACTGAATTGAATGGCTGCCTCCTATGCGATATCATTCTATGATCCTAAATTAGTTAGGAGCCTTCACTGGTTGTGTAGTTTTCCTTGAGAACTGGAAAACTTGACCAGCAGATCTTCTACGCGAGCCGCCAGCTCTTGTTACACTTGTTTGAGTGGGGAATAGATATATTGATTGGATGGGAGAAGACTTGCGTGTGTATGTGGAGCGCACATGGTGGCGTGGACCATTTGGTCCAAATGGCCTGCTTCTGTGCTGTACACTACATATTACATGTCTGATCTGGAGTATATATTGAAAATAAACTAATGAAGGTAAGAAGTACTGAAACTAGACATAGAAAATGCTGGCAGCACCTGGATGAAAGTGTCCAAAAATATTCATTTGTAACAATGCTGTTTATAACTGGGCAAAGGGAATGCTATTCTATGGACATTTTTTATTTCTCTCCACCCAGAAAGAGTTATCCCTCAACAGTTGTATGATTTGAAATTTCTTTGAATATTTTACTATATTTTCCTGCAGCATTCATTCTCTGTAATAACTAAAAAAAAAACTTGAAAGTGCCAGCTGGTACTTTCATGTTGTGCATCTGCTCGCCCTTCTATTTTGCACCAAGGCTCTGAGCAGAGGGACCTTTTTCATAGTGTTGAAGATGGGTTCATTCACTGAATTTGCAGGAAACCTGTGCTGGCTGCCAATAGCAAGGAATACCAGCAAACTAGATCCAGTTCTGATCTGGCCTTCGGTCTGAATACATTTTAAAGGTTGTCTAATTTTTTTATCCCCTTTCTAGACTTCAGAGCCGATCAAATTCGTATTGGGAGCCCAATCCGACTGATGACTGTTGTTGGCTCCCCTTAAAGATCAAACAGTTGAAGGGAATTCTAATGAATGTCGATGGCCTTTGTCTCTCTGAGGTTGTTTTGAATATTGATTTTGTACAAAGTTTTATTTAACATCAGCATAGATGAGGTCATTCATGTCATCTTGCTGGTTGTTTTAGGTCTGCTTTCCTTGAATTATTAAGATATTCACAATAAATTAAGTGACAGGAAAAGATTTTGTGCATTCAAATGTTGGATTGCCATTTAAAGGTCAAATTGCAGAGGTTCACTTTGTGTTGGTTAATTGGGAAATCCAACTATTTTGGTTGCTTCATTTGCATCAGCATCCAGTTTATTTTGGTGAGGTAGGGAATGCAAAGTGGGGTGCAAAAACGGTGCTCACTCGGGAACAAGCGAGATGGAATGCCAGCAAATCAGGGCCTGTTACTGTTGCAATGTTGA